TGGTACTGTCAATTGGCCCAGTGATGAGAATCTTTATTTTCTTGATGTTGAACTTTAATCCAAATTGGAGACTGTAGTTCTTGACTTTCTGCAGCAGACACTTCAAGTCCTCCTCAATTTCAGCAAGCAAGGTTGTGTCATTTACGTAGTGCAAGTTGTTACGAGTCTTCTTCCAGTTTTGATGCCGCATTCCTTTTCATAAAGTCTAGCCTCCTGAATGATCAGTTGCTCAGCATATAAAATGAAAAGATATGGAGACAGGATGCATCCCTGACATGATCCTTTCCTGATTTTGAACTATGCAGTGTTTTCCTGCTGTGTCCTAATGATGGCTTCCTGGCCCAAGTATAGGTTTTGCGTGAGCACAGTTAGGTGTTCTGGAATCCCATTCTTCTCGTGGTTAGCCACAAATTGTTGTGATCCACACAGTCAAATGCCTTTGCCTAGTCAGTGAAACACAGATAAACATTCCTCTGGTACTCTGCTTTTGGCCAAGATCCATCTGGCATTAACTGTGATGTCCCTCCTGCCACGACCTCTTCTAAAGCCAGCTTGCACTTCTCGCAGTTCTGTATCGAGGCTTCTATCGAAGTTCTTGTCATTTTTGGATAATCTTCAGCAGGATTTTGCTTGCTTGTGTTATTAGTGATATTGTTTGATAATTTCCATACTCATATCGGATCACCTTTTTTTTTTGATTGGGAATAAATGTGGACTTTTTCCAGTGAGCTGGCTAGGTAGTTGTCCTCCAGATTTCTTGGCACAACCTGTTGAGGGAGATGTTGGGGGAGAGGGGGAGACCATGCCGCATGTGCATGAAATATTCACCACTCTGACAGCAACACAACTCAAAGTCACTGATTATTCTATCATCCTGTAGAAAGAGCAAAGATGACACAGGGATGGTGGAGCCTGACTTCCACTAATTTTAAATGGAGAAACTGCTCCCATTAACTACATCCACAGCACAAAACCCATTTCCATGAGGCCAGACATGTCCCCTACACTCCCATGCCTGTTTATATGAATTTCTAATACCAGTCCTACTCACTGCTCCACTGGATCTGAAATCTGTTGCAATAGCTATGCAGACTTCATAGAAACAATCATGATCAGGAGATTTATTAGGGAAGTTAATAGGTTACAACTCAGAATGGCAACAGGAATATAATTTCTTAGTCAGGATGGCTTTTGAAGTGTGTTGGCTGGCCCTTCAGCCTTGTGGCTTTAGGCCAGTGTTACAGAGTTCTCTTAATGCTGCTGATTAAGGTGTCTCCCCCTCAAGCCTTCCAGCAAGCTTGAGCAAAGGCCCCTGGTTCTGGTTCCATAAGGTAGCAGTCCCAGGATAGGTCTATCTCACATCAGGTCTCTGGTTTTCTACTGAGACTGTCGTTTCTTTACTGTGAGTCTGGCTGGTGCAAGAATCTCTGGCCCTGAAGGGCGCGTGGTATATTCTCTGCTTTCTTCTTCTTCTTCTTTGTTGTTGGTGAGATTCCCAATTTTTGGCACTGATTCCCAATTTTTTGCAGATTTAAACCTAGTGGAATGGTGAAACTAGCTAATCCCC